TGATTTCCAACGGCCGTGTCTTTTAAACAATCTGTCAGGCACTCGAGCATTAGCAGCAGCGGAGGCACCTCCGGCCCTAAGGCTATGGAGACCGTAGTCTTGCTTGGGAAGGCCGATGGAATCGAAAGCGCTAAGCACTATCTCCCGCGCTCTAGTATAAGACAAAGGAACAGACCCGCGCAATTTATAAGCTCCGGTACTGCGAAGAAAAACAACAGGGCGAAAAATGAACTCTTCGCTGTCTGCTGAAAAAGAAGCGGCCACAAAATATCGTTGAACTAATAAATAGAGACATGTATGCTTGAAAGTTTTAGCGATAACAACCCAAGCCCCATCCCTGTAAACGTCAGTCTTACTTCGATGAACAAAGATCCTCATAAAAGAATCTTCAAACTGAAAATCACACCTGCGTAACTGAACCAACTCGTTAAAGCGAAAAAACCCTGCATAACCTAAAACGCACAAAGTAAGCACTCGTAAATCAGACAAACTAGCTGAAGACGATCCATACTTAGAAAATAAAAGCTGAATAGCCTCGGGGGTCACAGGCTCTTTCTTTTTGACAGGGATACTGAGAAGCCTCTTAGCAGATTCTATTAAAGGTAAAACTAACGAGGAATTACAGGGGTCGGGTAGACCTGCCAAATCATGCACCCACTTGAGCCCATAATGGACTTCGTCAATAGTACTGCAAGAAGCAGATTCTTGAATCAAGCTAAGAAAGAACAATGAAACGTGCACACTAGAAGCGGGAAATATAACAATTTCATTAAACTGAGAAGCCCATTTTCTCCACGTATCGAAGCCCTTTTCGTACTTCCTCGCGGTACTGTCGGCTTTGGATACTGTCGCCCGTCTTCAACCTGTTGAAAATTAGGCTGCAAGGCATCTTTGAGAACTTCTACGAGGATAAGAACAAAAATATATGGCAAAATTCCTCAATACACGCACTGGGAGTCAATACAGCAGTAAAAAATGGACGCTTGGTAATGCCTCTGACCGGATGCAAAACTATTTAAGGCCGAATGGGCCAACTCAAAAACCACGGTAAACAAGCCACTCGGCGAGCTAGTTTCATGCGAAACGAGGACAAATGAACCGACGAGCGGAATAAAAAACACGTGGGCCAACATAAAGCCACTCGGCTTGAAAAAACTAAGGCCCCTTAGCGCCAATTCTGACTGCCAGCACCGCGCTGTTAAACCTGTCTGAACCAATGAGTGAATCTTTGTAACACCCCCCGAGGGCAAAAAATCCCTGAGGGGTCGGGAAAATGAATGTACTCAAGGACGTACGGTTGAAATTGAATTGCATTTGCGAACAAGAAAGGCCAAAACACATTAGACGGCCAATAAGGGACGACTAAAGTACCAACCGCACCGCATACAAGGAGATGCTGAACCGCCCTAGTAATGCAGTGGACGGGAGGGACTAGCCAATTATTCTCTCCACTCCACGAGATTGAAAATGCGTCAACAGCTTCAGTGCCTGGTACGCGAAACCTAGAATTGAATCTGGGAAGATGGGCGTTGGCAGCATTCGCGAACCTGTCGACTGTATGTGGGCCCCAAAGGCGGTCCAAGTGTGCGAAGAACTCGGGGGTTGTATACCAGTCATCGAAGTCTACAATGTGGCTAATCGCATCAGCACAAGCATTAAGTTCCCTGGGAACCCACTGGGGAATAAGTGTAATATTGTAAGTTCGACAAAAATAGAAAATATCAAGCGCAATAGAATGCAATTCTGCACTAGGACTCCCTATCTCCACAACACGAACGGCCCCTTGGCTGTCAGAATGCCACTTTACACACTTAACCCGAACCGAGGCTTTGAACGCACTTAAGGCAAATTGTATAGCCTTAAGTTCTCTCCAGGTAGAGCTCTTAGCTGCTTCGCAAGCAGTCCACATACGATGGGACACTTCATTAGTGCCCACAACAAAAGCCCCGCAGGCGACGTTGCTAGCGTCCGAATAGCTAAACAAAAGGGGAACATTATAAGGCAAAATAGGTCTCGTATTAAGACTAACGATATTGTTTTTCCAGAAAAATATTTCAGAGAGGCAATCATTATGAAGCCCGATATTAAAACGGGAATCCCAACTACGGCGGGATTCTATGACCTTGTAAAGGAAACGGGTTTTGAGACGAGTCAGGTTACCCAAAACTGGCGACATGGACATAACATGACCTGCGATAACGGCACAATCCCGAGCCGTAACATAAGGTGCGGATAGAAGAAATTTGTCAACCAGAGCGATAAATTTGCAAATACGTCTATCGGTAATAGAAATGGTACCGATAACTAAGTCCCAGTTTAAACCCAAGCAAACAAGCACCTGAGTGGGGTTCCATAGTGATTTGGCGGAGTTGGCAACAAACCCCGCACTGCTTAAGGATGATTGCACAAACAATGAATTTTCCTTGGCCATAGGCAGTGAATCCCCTTTTCCGCACCCATCGTCGAGGAACACAACAATTTTAATCCCGTTAGACCTCCAAAACTTAACGAGTGGTCTGAGACACTTGGTAAAGACGTATGGGGCTGAGCTTAGACCGAACGGAAGTGATGCAAAACAAACATACCGAACGGTACCAGAAAAAACCCAGGAGAAACCCAGAAAAGTTTGGTGATCCGAAAAAATATCGATATGGTGATATCCAGACTTGAGATCGAAACTGAAAAGGTAGTCGCCCTTATTAACATATGATAATAAAACTCTCCAATCTTCACACCTAAACTTCTGTTTCCAAACGAAATGATTGACATAACGTAAGTCCAGAATAAGCCTCTTCTTGCCTGAAGACTGTATCGAGACAGAGAGCGGATTAACGACATGTGGAATAAAGGGCACCTCAACGACGGCGTGAGTGTGGACTAATTCAGCGATAGCCGACTCCACGAAAGACGCATTATTAAGAGCTGACTGATTGTTAGGAAAACGCGCCTGACAAGGTGTGCTAATGAATGGGATCCGATAACCGAATTTAATAGTATCGATAACAAAACTATTGGCACCAATAGTGTGCCAATAACTTAAACAGGACCTAAGTCTACCCTTAAGTACTGGCAATGCGGAATTCTGTTCAAATTCAAATAGATTGCGATCATAATCGAAATCGACTAATGAACTAGAGTCCCTTTCCCTGAAATACTCCAAATAAGAAGGATACATGTCTAATAAATTGACTAAAGCTAATATCTAACCTTGGAAAACAAGTTTTTAATTCTGTGGTCCTATTTACCTCCAATGCCCGAAAGAACAGAAGAACTAGGAAAGGACTGCCCCGAGCTTGAAGATCTGGCTTGAGGATTAACTTGACACTGAGATCTCCAATGACCTTGCTGGCCGCAGGCGAAACAAATATCGCTTGGTCTTGGTTTGCTGAAAGCGCCAAAAGTACGAGAAATAGGTCTGGAGGATGATGAATGTTGGCCAGCAAACGCGGTGGTTGCGGTAGATGATTGGAGTTGTGAATAACCTTGCTTGGATGGCTTCGCTTTCTGTTGGCGTTGGTTGCGTTTACGAAGGGCCCTCTGCTCGGCACTGCGGATACGCTTTTCGTCCTCTGACCCGCTAGCCAACTCGTCTGATAAATACTCGTTCACCAAATCCCAACCGGCGGCGGACTTGTCTGCCAGTCTGATAAGTTTGTTGCGCTTCGTGATGTCAGAGTCTAGTTCTTCCAGGTGAGTTTTAACAAGGTCCAATTTTCTCTTCCCGAGAGCAACTGACGCCGACTTCACCTTCTCTGCAAGGTCGGAGTTGAATTGAAACTGTTTCTTATTACCTTCGAATCTAAACGTGATCTTGGATTCTTCTTTAAGCTTTTTGGCCACAGAATCGGTATTACTGCACGACTCGTCTTGAATATCGCGCTTCAAGGCGCCCAACTTCTTGTCGAAATAATCCTTAAATAGAGAGAACGCGGACGCTATATCACTGGATTCTGAAGACTGGATTGGTACTGAAGCTTCGAGAGATTGAGACAAAGGTTGTTTAGGAAGCGAAGGCAGCAAAACGTCGCTTCTAGGAAAATCTGTGTTCGCTGGAGTAACGTCTTCAACATCAGACATAATTTTGAGGGCGTAGGGACGGTCGTAAGACGCGAATGAATATAAATGAGAACAACTCAAATATATATAGCCTACCGCTAATGAAGCAACAGAACAGCATACCATGTAACACCCCAAAGAAAAGGTTACATAACCCATGATAAATACATTTATCGGTCAGCAGAGGTGAAGCGCTCGATTCGACTTGCATGTTTGAAGCGATGTTTTAAAAAATATTGGTGGTAGTAAGACTTTTTTCCTTAGCAACCCGATTGCAAGAGTAATATGCTGAAGGGAGAGCCCGCTTTTATTTCAAACACATAATAGATTGTTTACTATCCAATCGGGGTTAAAAGAGCCCGGGCAAGTCTAGGTAAGCCTATTGTTCCTATTGTAGTAGAGTGACGCTCATTAGTAAACCTATCCACTTCATTATATATGGAGGAAGGCGCTTAATTAGTATGGAGGAAATCCAAGGGAAATCCAAGTTTCAACATAGTCTAATACTTGTATTTCATCACGACGGCGCGCGGGAAGCAATTTCTTTGACGGATTGAAAAAGTACTGTGGGGTAGGGAAGTGATGGAGCGAAAACCACCCATATCTTTTTAAAGCAGAAGTATTAAAATATTCTTTATAAAGCTATCTAGATAGGTAAATTTTTTAATGAAATATTGAAAAAGGAATGACCCGGAGGGAGGGGCCATCTCTATTGATTTCATGTGTTTGTCTGTGACTGATTCATCACTGCCAGTGTTACGTTACATACTAACGGGCGAGTGCCAGTCGGGTCGCAGGTGCAAATTTGCAAGGGACACCGTAGTCATTCGAACCATGTTGAGTTTCAACATAGTCTACTACTAGTTCCTCCAACTGGAAAAATGTTTCGCGTTCCCCTGTCAGCAAGCTTTCCCTGGAAGTGGAAGCGGGGGACGCTCCTTGAGTCATCGCACAAATGTAAAAAAGAAAACTTTACCTGAACAATTCCGCCCGTTTCCAGTGAAACCCGGTTCACACTTGCAATTAAAGTGTCCAGCAGTATTTACACAAGTTGCATTTTGGTGGCAATCGTGGCTGCCGTTGTTGCATTCATCGGTATCTAGGTAGCATAGGGTCGGACATAGGGAAAAGAGCAAGAAAATGTAAATCTGATGGTTTTAAGATAAACGTCCACCTTACGAGTTAAAGGTATTTTTATTTTATTTTATTTTATTTTATTTTATTTTATAAGATAAGATAAGATAAGATAAGATAAGAGAGTGGGGATAAACTTTATGTAGCCATTCTAGCCTAACTCAACTAAAGCTGGGCTTCCATTAGAGGCGTGCAAAACGTATAACTAACATAATCATAACTATAACAAAATTGTCAAATCTGATTGGCTATCAACTGCCCTGATTTTAGCCTTAATTGGACAGTTAGCCTGAGTATCAGGCGTTTCTGGGGGAAAAGGGGAAAGATGGAAGCGAAAAAGGGAGACAGCTGAAGGAGAGAAACGCCTGACACAGATGCTTTTACTGGAACCTTCCACCCCCACACAGCATGATTCGATACCATCCAATCAAAATCACATCCGGTCATTGAGTTGTCAGCTTCACGTGTCAAAAAGCTCGCCTAAAATAAATCTCACCATACGGTCTGGCCGAGCTCTGGTGTCTGTGTTGCGACGATTTCGCTTTTTCTAAAACCTCCAATGAGGAGTTTTCGAATACTTGTAATGGAAAACCTGCCGTTTTTTAACATGTTTTGTAACATGTTTTAGGAATTGTGCTAATGTAAGATCGCCAACGCTCTGTTTGTAAATAAACGTGTGGCCGGAAAACTGTAAACTGCTTTTGTTTACAGAGTTACGACAGCGGCGCTCATTAATAAGCAGGTTCCTGAGAATCTGGCCGTTAATGAGCTGCTGTAGATCAGGCCGAAAATCGTCCGAGAGAAAATCTAAAGTCAAGCTAAAGCCTTGGTGCTGTCGGCTATTCTCAATACATGGCTACCTCGCTCTAATTTTATTTACAGTAACAATACCCTTTTAGCGGCAGGATGTTGCAAATCAAAACTTAGATATCTGAAGCACTGATATCGTCTTCTTTGTCCTGGTCTTGTGAAACCAATACTCGGACATAGTTTCGGCAGAAGCTGGTATATGAGGCTTTTCCATACTCCGAGAACATCTTTCCTTTTAACTACGAGGCTTTGAAAACATAATTCTTGCTCGGGTTTTATTTTTATTCCCGGAAAGAACTTGAGAGCTCCCTCTAGAGTCTCTTTGAATTCATCTCTGCGTCTCTATCCATAAAATTACCACATGAAATCATAACACTCTGCTCGTGTTTACTTGCGGTCGGTGACGTCAGGGCGTATTGTGTGTTATCCAATCACTACCACATCCAGAATCTGGATGTGTCACACGATGTGCTGAATGGTTTTGTGTCAGGCCTTCCTTTCTCTTCTCCCCCCTTCCCCCTGCCCCATCAAAAACCTCCTCTCCCCCATCCCCTTAGGAAGGCCTGATACTCAGGCTATTGGACAGTTTAATAGGACAGTACGCGTCATGCCTAAGTAATTGGAAAGTACGCGCCATCACGCGCGCGCTTAAATGGCTTCTTTTTTTCACTGCTAGCAAAACAAAATTTCGAATTTTTTGTGTTTTGATTTAAAAAATTTATATCACAAATTTTGTTAAAGTTATGATTAATTGGTAACAGAACTTCGTGTCGTCCAATTCGGTCTGTAACCATACTCGTGATTAAACAAATCAGACTCCCGCTACGCGGTCGTCCGATTTTGTTAATCACTCGTATGATTACAGACCGAACTGGACTCCACTCAGTCCTGTTTATACCATTACAAATAATAATGACAAAATATCAAATTATACAATCTAAACTAAACGCTACGAAAATTATAAACTTTAGACTATATTCTATACATTAAATATTCTAAAAGAAATAAACAGAATCTGACTTAAATTTTATATATGCTATCCAGGCTGTATGCTATCTAAAAACATACCAGTGACATATATTCCCCAGCAGTGACCCAAAGGCCAATGGGATTTGATTTCAGTTTTAAATGACGTAACGGTCTCACAATTTCACGTCTTTGCCCATCTTTTGGGCAGAGGAAGGGCAATCTTTCTGGCTTAGTTCCAAGATTACGATTACTATTGGTTTATGGGCTTTAATTCTGTAAAGATATTTGATAGTCTGGGGATTGAGGGGATGGAAACTGTTTGTTTGTCTAACTCAATTTCACTAACAGTATCATGCCTCAGAGAGACAAGCTGTTGATTATTACGCCCGGAAATGCTATTGATAATTCTTCACCCTTGCTTTGGATCGCCACGCTCATTTTCAAGTTGATTCTAGCATAATAATTCCATTTTGTCTAGATAGCAGCAACAATAGAGATAGTCGTATAAACATAACAACTTTCTTTAATTTTCCAGACACAATTTGAAGGTACATCCGTCATCTTCAGTGTTACATATTTTGAAATCGCCGTTGAATTTAAACTGTTTAAAGCGCGCGATCTTACAAAGTTCGTTACATTGCATTGTCAATATTGCGTACTAAAACAAAAAAAAAATTAAGTGAGTGACGCTTAGTTCTTTACAGGGAGAGAGTCAGGTTAATGTTTTTTGTTTTAGTACGCAATATTGACAACGCAATGCAATGTAAAAAACTTTGTAAGATCGCGCGCGCTTTAAATTCAACGGCGATTTCAAAATATGTAACACTGATGATGACGGACAGTGTACCGTCAAAACATGTCTGGAAAATCAAGAAATTAAAGAAAGTTGTTATGTTTATACGAATTTCATTTTGCTTGTCATAGAGCAATGTTTACAGCATTTCTAGCGGAAATATAGAGACCAATTGTTATCCTCGGTTCTCTTTATCGTTTATCGTAGCTAGACGATCTCGCTCCCTCATTTGTTGCGTAATCTTGCTATTTACTTAGGGGAGACTAGATAGTTTGTTCCTGACCGGCTTTTTTCGTATAGGGCGTTTCTATCCAAAACTTCTAGAAACATTATTTTCCAACAGATCCGCATTGCATCAACGTCATTTTTAAGATTTAGAGGTTCGCAGGTTTTTTTTTGTTATCTCAAATCCTGAATTTTTCTGAAGTTTCTAATTCCAATTTATTTCATTGTGTTGGATTTTTAAACCAAGTAAACTAGATCGTGATCACAAAAACCGAACCGTATCACATCAGAATGTAGAGGAAGTGATGCATAGATCCAAAAACGACCTTGATGTTTAAGTAATACGAGTAGGTTTGTCGATACTAAAAATAACAACTCCAAGATTTCATTATCCCATGTTCGATATATTAAAATTCTGACGCGACTCCGAGGCTTTAGAGTCAAAATTGCAAATATTTCACGACTTCATTGCCTCGCAATTCCCATAAGAGGCCTAGGGCCTGTTTACAAGGAGAGAGGGTTACCCTTTTGCTGTGGCTACCCTAGCAAGCGGGTTAAAGTTAGCTCTGGTTTACAAGCAACCCTAGCACCAGGGTTACCCTCCCTCCTTGTAAACAGGGCCTTAAGCACAAAGAAAACCAAACCTAATGAAGAAAAATGACCAGAAAGCCCCTGATTCATGTAAGAATTTTAATATATCGAACGTGGGCTACTGTTACCCTGACAACGGCGGCCATTTCCTGTGAATCCTGCCTGACAACTGCAATTAAAATGTCCAGCGGCATTTACACAAATTGCATGCTGATGGCAATCATGGCTGCCGTTGATGCATTCATCGATATCTGAATAAAACAGGGAGCAAAAAAACAAAAGAAAATGAATTTCTCCTTCTTCTTCCATTGCGCAGATCAGTGGCCGTTTAGAGTAAATAATGGTTTACAACGTTTGCCACTGAAATGCTAAACATGCTCATTTTTTCTTGTCGACGGTTGTTGTAAAATCGCCAATGAAGCGTTAACTCCCCCTCCACTTTTTCCGAAGGAAAGACAACTATGACGAGTGTCTCTTCAGCCTTTTTCTCGTAAGTTACTAGGAGTCCCTCCACTTGTAAAAAATAATGTTCCGCGTTCTTGGCATCACGCAAAATGCATTTTGGTGGCCGCCGCTGCTGCATTCATCGATATCTGGTCGGCGAGTAACAGATGGAAAACAAGGAAAAAATAAATCCAGTAGTTTCAAGATGGAGGCAAACGAGCAGATTATGGAATAAAAGGTATTTTTTACCCTGACACAGACGACCATTTCCTGTGAATCCTGTTTGACAGCTGCAATTAAAATGTCCAGCGGTATTTACACAAGTTGCATTTTGATGGCAATCATGGCTTCCGATGCTGCATTCATCGATATCTAAATAATACGAAGAGCAAAAAAGTTAATCTGATACTTTTTACATCAAGGTAAACGTGTTGTTCTAAAAGTAAAAGGAACTTTTATTCACTATTATACATTGAGCACACTTGGTCGTTTCCTTCGAGCCCTTGCTGATACGGCCTGGAATTAAAATGTACGAAGATTTTTTTGTACAGATTGCAGTTTGGTGCCAATCGTGGCCACTGCTGCTTGACGCTGTCCAGAAATAAAAAATCAAAAGAGCGCAAAAGGTAATTTATACTGGGGCACATCTAGCTTTTCCAGGGGGTCTTGGAAGAAAGCGTTAGCTACCCCTCCACTTTTTCTGAAGAAAAGACTATAATGAAGAGTGTCTCTTCCGTCTTTCCATCGTAGGGTCACTAGGCGAGTCTCTCCACTTGGAAAAAATAATGTCCCTGGTTCTTGTCACCAAGCTTTCTTGAGAGGATGAAGGAGGTTGGTTGGGGGGACTCCCTAGGTTATCGTTTGACAAATGAAAAAAAATTATAGCTTCACCTGACCTGAACAATTTCTCCCGTTTCCAGTGAGACCCGGAAAACATGGAAAAAGTAAATCGAGTAGTCTCAAGATGCAGGCAAACGAGCAGATTATGGAATAAAAGATATTTTTTACCCTGACACAGACGACCATTTGCTGTGAATCCTGTTTGACAGCTGCAATTAAAATGTCCAGCGGTATTTATACATTTTGCATTTTGATGGCAATCATGGCTTCCGATGCTGCATTCATCGATATCTAATAGCCTGTGAACAGGCTCTCTGTTTGGGGAAAAAAATAGCAAGGAAAGGGAAGGGAAGGGGGGAGAGAGCCCGTAGACACACGTTTGAGGCCGCTATTCCGCCCTCTTGTAATTATCTTGCCGAACATCTGTCAGTAAGATCGTTATCTGTCAATCAATTTCGCGCGTGAGTAACTCCTGGGAAAAGGGAAAACATCCGTGTTTTGCTTCGTCTCAAAACAAAGTGAAATGGACCGCGAGCCTAATTGTCGATTTTGAAAAAAATCGTTGATCTCCGGTAAGAGAATTAATACGGTGCCGGTCGTTGGCGTTTCAAGAAATAAGACCTTGCTGGTTGACAGTGGCCAAGACAGCGTTGTACTAGCACAAGCATTTGATTGCTCAAGATTTCCTCTTGTGCAAGGAGAAAGCTTTTCCGATTTAAGCTGCTTAACTTGTGCTCATCGCGCCGTTCGTCTTGCTAGTTCAGTTTCTAATTCAACAAGCCCCTGCAATGAGCGAACTTGGAATGCGAAAGGTACGGATACTATCATGACTTCTCCAGAACGTGAACCTCCAAAGACAAGTACAAAGAAATCAACAGCGCTTCGATCGCCGACAGGAATTACACCTTTGGGTATTTATCCCGCATTTATAGCAATAAAAGAGGGCGGTAGGCCTACACGGCGTTTACCTCACGCCAAAATGCTGCCTGTTCCCATAAGTTTTTTCCTCTGCTCGGTAGATTATGCTCTGGAAGGTTCTACATTTTCACTGAGCAAATATGGTTTTAGCCGCTGGTTTCACACTGAGAGGTCATGGCATACATATCGATTTACTGTGGTTTTTGTCTCTGGTCGGCAGGATTTGCCCTCCATGCTCTGATGCAAGAGCATTTTCTTTGACCTCTTTTGAAGCGTAAAGCTTTTTATTGCGGCTGAATAAGGGTCGTACTTTTCTCCAAAGTGCCCTCTGGATCTGAATAACTAAACGATTTTCTTTAGTCCGTAAATGTTATGTTTTTCTGAAATGTTGTATCACGCTGGGCCCAGGTCGTTAGTTTCTTTGCAGAATGTTTAAAATGATCACGGAGAGTAATTTACAGATCCAAAGTTATAAGATTCAAGTGCAGCTTAAACCGAAGCTACATCAACTATGGAGAATTGCATTTTGACTCGGTAAACTCCAGCCTAGTGTTTTTCTATCCATTAGATAGTGTGAGTCTTTTGACCGGAGCGCGTAGTTCCTCCCTGGGTAATAGCTTTTGAACAACAGTCTTTGGAGTGTTTTGTTATTTCCAAACGCGTGTTACGTGCCGACCGAAAAGCCGATGTCAATCAGACCTTTCAACAGTCAGTGTTCTCGCCAAGAAGAACTTGCATCAGGATCTGATGCACAGCGGGTACCGTGGAACGGCGGTCCCAAAGGCTTGTCCACAAGCCTTTTCGCTTTTCCCTCTCCCTAATTCCCTGCTCGACCAAAGGCCTGTTCACAGGCTAATATCTAAATGATATGAAGAGCAAAAAAGTTAACCTGATACTTTTTACATCAAAGTAAACGTGTTGTTGATTGCACACTTGGTTGTTACCTGTGAACCATTGCTGATGCGGTCCGTAATTTCAATACCGGAAGGGTTTTTGTACAAATTACAGTTTGAAGGCAATCATGGCCTCCGCTGCTTGACGCCGTTCAGTTTATCAAATCAAAAGGACACAAAAGGTAATTTATACTGGGGCACATCAAGCTTTTCCAGTTAACCTTGGAAGCTAGTTGTTATTGTTTTGACCTGCGCCTTCGTGCAACTTGCATTTTATTGGAAATCATTGCTGTCGTTGTTATATTTACTGGAAGAATCAACAGGCGAAGTTAAATGTTAAAATTCCCACCCTACAAACTGATTAGCCTGTTTTTGTTTCCCCTTCAGTGGGGTGTTTAAAGGCTTTGTTATTCATTGCATATTGTTACCAGCAATATGACCTGTCACAATTAATTTCTCCACTATACCTGTTTCACAGTGCTCTCCTGTGTATCCCGATGTACATACACAAAGATACTTCTTGTCAGTAAACCCAAGGAGACATTTGGCGTTGTTCCGGCAAGGATTGCTGCAGCATAGATTCTGTGAGAATAGAACACGTTTTCTCTTAGGGTAGCAATGAATTCAGTTGTGAATTGGCTCCAACGAGAGAGAAAAGAGAAGTAACAAAGCCAAAATGTCTTGGAGATAGATTGTTATTGCAGGAATACCACACAACTTGCATCACCGCCGGCTTTGCGAGCCCGGTGCTTTTCAGGCTGAAAGAGCAGTCTTTAGCCACCCACGCAGACTTCCTTTTGGCTTCGACAAGCGTTCGTCGTGTAGGGAAGAAACGCGTGACCAAGCCCTTAGAAGGTTTGTCTGGGGGGGGCTGCAGTTTGCGTTCTGTTTTTTGTCGCCTGCCGGAAGGAAGGAGGAGACAAGGTAACCGATTAATGTTTCCGCCTAACGGCGCGATTATTTGAGCTAAGGTGAGGTCTGTCCCGCAGCTGCTTTGCAGCATAATCTTCTGACCAGTTTTTGCTGAGATCCTGTTTGGTGTTCCGGCCTGGGTTTAAAACAACTGGGCAAAAGAACGCTTGACCAACTACGTCATAAGGATACGGTAAAATTCCGAAAATAAGTACCATGTATAAGCCCCTCCAAAAGTCCCCCAAACTCGTAACGCATAATAGAACCTCCATTAAAGGGCCCCTCCGGAAATTGACGAATTTCGGTTCGGAAGCTTGGATTATTTTATTTAGCTGACATGTTCATAAGTAATCTTAAAACTAAATTTAATAGTTCTTTACAGAATGGTTTCAAATACAAAAAGAATTCATAAATCCTTTTACTGAAATTTTCCCATAATAACTAAACAAATGCCTTGAAAAGTGTAATTTGTCGGCAAGGAAACATGACATTTGCGTGCCAAATTTTGTCGTTGGTAGCAGTAAATGAGTTTTTAAAAAATCCATCATTTTAATTTTGTGCTCAATGATCTCACTGCTTTCGTATATACTAAAACAATTATTCACCTCAGTGTCAGCGGCCAGTGGGGGATATTTACCACCACTCACCACCTCCACTTCAGTGAATAATTGTTTTAAATCAGGAAAACAACAACTTTGTACACGCATCACTCTTTCAGTTTTGAACATTTTTTAGCCGAATACAACGTGAAAATGCCTTATTAAGACACGTTTTATCGAGAACGGGAACACAAGACAACTTTTTTTCTTGCATTTGCCAACATTTGACGAATTAGACCACATGGAAGAAGCGCAATAAAGTTTGACGAAACGCGATTTCACTTTTTAAGTGACGTTTTCGTACCCGTCGCCATCGTTGTTGCTTAAGCTCCCTAATTATAGTGTTCTGGGCGATGCATTTTTTTATGAATTCAGTTGAGGTGAAAAAAAGTTTGAGCTTTTTAAAGAGATAGCAAATGGCTTGGCATAGTCCCTTTAATAACTATTAAACTTATTATCATTGGATGGAAATTTTCCTCCTTTTCATTGGCCGAAAGCCCAGCACGTGACCTACAAATAACTGCCTACAAATTATGGCCTCCGACCAACGAAGCTTCTCGTCGCACGCGATAAACAAAACTCCCGTACCCGGGGTACAAATAATAGCGGAGCTCCTTGCGCGCGCGAAGCGCGTGCGAGCGGAGCACCATGACTAAGATAAACTACCCATCCGAGAAATTTTGGTTATGACGTCAGCGTACGTCCGTCCGTACGGACTTTCCGGGTAGTGGAAAGTAGTCCGCATGGACTCTTGGGGTAGGGGAAAGTAGAGATTTTTTGGCGCAATTATATCGCGCAACTGGTTTTGAAAAAAGAAATTTCAAAGCAACTTAGCAAAAAGATTTTTCGACAGAGCCTTTATAACTTTTTATTACAACTTACGAAAGCTATTATGTCAACAAACAACAGCAGAGAGATTTTAGCGTGTAGATGACAGGTTTTAAGCAGAGAGCAAAGAGAAGGTGAACGGCAGAGAGCAAGAGTCAACACGCGTAGAACAAGCGAAGACGATCGCCAAAGAGAGCGCGTTAGAGGTAGAAGAAGAAGACAACATTTTAGCGAAGAAAGTCAGCAAGTAGAAAAAGTCAGAGCGAGAAGAAGGAGAGAAAATTATAGTGAAAAACGCCGGCAAGCAGAACGAGACAGGGCAAGAATGAACAGACAAAGGCAACGCGAAAGAGAAATACAAAGGCAAAGAGAACGGCAGCAACATAATGACATGATGACAGAAAGTGTTGTGTTAATGTCACTATGGCCCCGTGTTATTAACATATTGATTTCAAACTGATCTCGGACGCGAAAATTCAGCCAATCATTTAAAAATACAAGCAGGGAAGACAGAGGCTTTTCACTTTTCTCACCATAGTCACGCGTTGATCACGCTCTACGACCGTCCAATTTTTATGCTCTGATTGGTCAAAATTTGACAGGTGTAGTTCATGCAGAAAATTTATACAGCATCTTGAACCTTGTCTACTTTGATAGCTGAAGCTGACAGAGTATTTTGTCAACTTGTGATGTTTTTTACTGTCTTTTTCCACTGGATGCTTAAAATGAAATACAGCTGCTATCAACAGTCTTCTTTGATTCATGGCTGGTTTGTTTATTGAATTTTTGGTTGGGAAATGCGCCGGTTGTCAAAGTTGGAAATCCGATTTCGGATGCATCGTTTTCGTTTTTCACCTTGCTGGATGCGGGATTGAAAAGTCCCTCAAGCGACTCTGGCCTTACTTGCATGATAGCTTTCAAGAGCTGCATCTCGAATGGTAAGCCTGAGTAATTATTGTATACAGTGTATGTTTGTTCTTTTTATATCTAATTTCATGAAGTCGAGCGCAGTTTATGAGGCTAATTTATGCACGTTTGTATTAAGATCTGAGACAATGATCTGATCTAGTATATATAAGCTTACAGAGCTTTAAAAAGCCTTTAGTCGATATTTTCTCTCCGCATATAAAATGAAAAAACGTTCCGAAGAGTATTTAGTTATAATTTTGGCTGTAGAAAGAAAGCTTTGAGCGATTTTCTTGCCTCGAGCTCATCTCTGAAAACGGTAAACACCAGGAAGCCGGCTAAAAGCTTTAGGCTTATTAAGCGTAAAGACTCAGGATTTTTAGAGACGCTTTAATACCTTTCTTCGTGAATGAAAATTGATGTCTCTGTAAATGTTTCACTGAATTACATTTCTTTTATTGATTGTTAGTAGTATCTTGCAATTTTAATCGCTTTGCTGTTTGTTTTCAGTCGTTCATAGACAACGCTTGCAGGAATACTCAAAATGCCGCGCGTTTGCACATCGTTATAAAACCATTAAATAAAAAAAATAAACAATAAATTCTTTATTATGTTGAAGCGTAACTCTTTCAATGTTCACTGAAAATTTGGCGCTTGTCAAAAGTGACAACCGGCTGGCCGTATAGGTGATTTTGAAAAATTTTTTGAACGGTTTTGCTAAAAGCCCACGCGTGCTTCGTACGGTTCTGAATATTGAATGAATGCAATTTGTCTTGAAAAATTGTGAAATACTGCATTTTGTCTGAGGTCTGTATGATAAAAACAGCGCCTCATATTACTGTTTCACCTCAGATGTGATGCATAAAAAGTATGAAATGTTGGTTTACACGCTCCCAGAGTTGTTGGCAAGATTTTGTTAAGTAAACTTGTCGAACGCAAAAAATTCGGCCTGATTTGTTTTTTCCATGAATTCGTTTTCCAGGCCTGATCTACTGTGATCAAGAGCTATTATGGCTCTTAAATGTGATCGACGATGATTGCTATTTTTTGGGTGTATATATACCGGCTATCAATTCGATGAAGGATTTTTTTTCAGTCTAAAATCACTTAGCCTTAGCTTTCCCTAAAAAGTCACATATGTGCCCTTAAGTTAACTGATTTGTGGATTACAAGTTTATTGTTTGATTTAAATCATAAATTTATTAATGGGAGCTTCGCTTTTAGCCCTGGCTAAATCTATATATTATTCTGCTCAAGCGTAAACAAAACCACGGTTTTCTCCTTCTTGCGATCGCTCTAAGTCTTGCTTGAAAAATGGTAGATCGCTCCGCTTCCCGATGATATTAAAAAACAAATTTGGTGATCGAATGATAAAACAGTTATTGAACTCGGTTATCGCAAAATAGCGTTATTTGCCAGTGTCTCCTAGATCAAAATGAATAGGCCATTTCCGAGTTCCCCTGGGCCTCTGTATCAAAACGAGGGCTCTGTATCAACTTTGATATGGAAATGATTTTTCAATTCTCATGCAAAATTACTCATTGTCCCTTAGAAAGGTTGTGCACTTGGCCTCATTTTGAAAGTGAGGGTTTTTGGAACTCGGAAGTGGCCTATTTTTTGCCTCAGCCTTCGGCATTTAAAATATCATCACACTTGCTAGCAAAAACAGCATCAAGACACGACCTTGAACTCAATTACCTCTGCTCCTCTATATGTCCAGCCGTGTCTTGGTTGAAGATCTTTAGGGTGATGCCAATGATCAGAGTTACTTAACTCACATATCAGTTTGTCGTTTATTGGTGGACCAACATTGATCGACACACATTCACTCTCCATGACGCATCGATGCTCGCACGATGCGTGAATTCCAATGGAAAGATTTAAGAACACGTGGTCCTTGAAATAATATCCACTTTCTGAGGGTATAAACTGGACCCGTCGGCATCCACCTGCAAAAATAATTCAATTCTCCGTTGCAGATTTGCCCCTTGAACATGATGAAACTAACTGTAGTTAGATTGTTATGAGAAAAAAGCCCAAAAAGACATAAGGATCAATCACTCTGATCCGGGCTGAGACAGAAAGGTACGATATTGTTCGCTTTTCTAAGGAGAACACTAAGGCTTTGGTCACGGGAATAAGCTTTAAGGAGTAACATGAATTAGGCGAGAGCAAAATTGCAACCGAACTTTTATCCGGGTCAAGGCTATTCGGTGAGCAAACAGCGTCTATGCTGGTCTGCCGACCGTGTGACCGTACATCCGGGAACTTGAATAAAACGAGTGTAAGATAAAAGTCAAGAGGTGTTATCTGCCAATAGGCTGAGTTTTTCCGAGTTATTTGATGATATTTCGCTTGTGATAAACGTGAGATGATTATGCGTGGTTGTGGATAGTCGCATCAGTGCCGCGAAAGTGTGCGATTGTGTGATTTCCGCACGGTGTTGACAGGCAGAACTCAGGGATGTCGTCGCGTGGTTGAGTTGTTGGACCAAAATATTCTGTGCCAGCCATAAAAACGTTTCGTCGGTGTTTAGCTTAGCTGATTTTGCCTTGAAGAACCAATTCTCGACTGAGGAAAGTTGGATCTAGCTTTATTTTTAGCGGACCCTGCAATAATAAAATTTTAAGTTAACTGATGCATTGATCGCTTTGATAATGTTATAAGACAATTAGTTTATGCTGCAGCTGTGCGTATGTCGAGATATTGAGCACTTTGGAAGTTTGGAGAGCACTCAAGAGGCTAGAGTTGCACTCGGCTGCGCCTCGTGCAACTATTACGCCTTTTTCGTGCTCTCCAAACTTCCCGCGTGCTCAATATCTCAACTTATTATATGGAGGAGAGTGTTTTACTGGGAACTAAACCACTCGTAGATTCCATACGCCACTTCATCCGGGACCCGAGTGGCGTATTTTCCGTATGTCACCTTTGTGAGTGTCGTATTGTTCAATGACGTCACGATTCCCGCCTTTTGCTTTTGTTGAATTGGTTTCTCCATATAATAAAAAGAACATTACACGTTGGCTCGAAGATATGAATTTTATGTTCTCGTGGCAAGAACAATATCTCACTCGTTCGCTTCGCTCACTCGTGAGATATTGCTCTTGCCACTCGAACATAAAATTCATATCTTCTCGACACCGTGTACGCACGCTGACGCATGAACTAATTGTTAAATGGAGAGAGGAGAGGCTACCATGTGACATTGAAATATCAGGCAAAAGCCAGAAAAATGCCTGAAAAGTGTTTGCCACTTTAAAGTGTCACTCGAATCTACTTAATTTTGCTTTGCAAATAACATAATTGGGCTTTATAGGCACTTATTTCATTGAGATAATAATTGATAAATAGAACTGAATGGATCATTGTCAGTTGACGCAAGTCATATGGTGTTTCATTAAGAGGAGCCTTATACTGCGAGAACGGACACGAAAAAGCTGGCCATGGTTGAAATAAAAACGTTTCAGCCGATTTGCCCCAGCCAAAACCTCGCTAAAATCATTTGACAATATAACTACGGTGGTCAGTGTTTGTTAATGACTGTTGCAAATATAAAAAACAAAACTTTTAAAGGATGACTCCTGTTAATATTAAATTCTTTCTTGTGGGGATTGTTTTTTGTACACCTACAGCGTGTAAAAAGAATAGTCTTTTATAGGTTAAAGATTATACGTTAAACGCAGTTGTTTTTCAACTTCATAACTGTTACTGAATCACTGACAGGAAGATATAAAAAAAGGAAGACAAAGCAGACTAATATGAGGGAAAGAAAGGAGAAAAGAAAGACTGAAGCATTTAAGCGCATCCGACGAAAAGAAAATTTTCAAAATTACTTTTATCTAGATGCTTCACTGTTCCTACAGTCTCGCCGCCAAAAATAACATGAAAAAATATTCATGATAGTCCCTTTTGTGTTAATTGGTTTGAGCATTAAAAATGCATCATAACAGATATATACATCTACAACATATTTTTAAAGCGAAATAATCGTGTCTTTTCAGTTGCAACTAGATCACACATTTCCGGATGAAACAGACTGAAACGTATTTCCATCACCGCATTCTAGGGTTGAACTTCTCGTTGCTTAAAGTTGTCGAAATAGTGTGGGGTGGGATGACATATTAGGAAAAGCAATTATGTTTACAACAGCTTATGATAGTAAACCTCAGTGGCATACTTGTGGCTTGGCACGTAAAGATAAATTAAAAGGGAAATTTTGCGTTTTTGATCCGTACAATAAACAGTGTATAACATTAGATTTTAAACGGTGATAGCATGCAGCAAAATAGCGGAAAAACTCTCCATCGGCTCTATCTTTTTGCCTGCAATTTTGAACATTCTCCCATCGTTACTTAGTATTTAATATTCCCAAATCATTTTTGGCGATAAACTCACAAATTACATGAAATTAGGGCGTAAAAGGTGGTATTGTTCTCACTTTATTCAAAAGCATGGTGACGGATTGAAATTAAACTTTCGTCCCGATTCAAATTGAACCGAATTGAAGTGTATACATGGGCTAATTCCAGCTCGGTTGGCCAAGATCTTAGTTAACCAGCGCTAGACTAAATCGTTCTCCATTTGAACACACTAATTTTTTGACAATGGAAAATGGGGTGAAGTTACACCTCAGTCAACCAAAAGCAAGCCTGGTCATCGTGGCTTATCAAGAGGTTCGTAGGAAGTCAGACACAAAATCATCGCACAATGGAAGGCCACCATCTTTTAGTGATTGTGTGAAGTTTTTAAAGTATAATTTGTAACCAGCCTAAGAAAAATTTAATCCTTGAATTTTAAAGCTGTTATAAAGAAAGACGAAACTAAAAAAAATGAACCTGAGTCTTTCAAAGAATGAAGAGAAAGTATGGAACCTTGTGAGTAGCCTCCCCGCAGACGTCCGTTGGGGTTCGTTTGTCACGCATTGATTTCTCCCCCACGGACGTCTGCTAAACAGAGCCGACATTTACGTTCTGGATTGTTTGAATAAGCCAATAAGCGGTTAGTCATTGTGTCACGATCAGCCAATCACGGGCTGTGATATAAGTGAAACGGAACCTACGTGCTCTGGACGTTGACGTGTCTTTGTATTCTTCAAGTGAATTATTTATTTGCACAGCTATCTTCTACCTGAGACGACTCAAACGTTAAAAAAAATGACAGAAATGATGCAATAAAGCTGTAGTGTAGTCAGCTGTATAGTTTTTTCGGTAGTTGTTGTAAGTATAAAATAATCTGCTTTTCTTTGAAAGACTTCGGACAACAGTCTCCCACACGAGCGCGGAGCGGTTTTCAGCGCGGTCGAAAACAATAATTATTATTAACTCTGTAATATATTCGAAGTATTAAGAAAGGAGCACTTGTAAGCGTGTATAGGGAAGATTTTCAAAGCATTCTTCGAAAACAAAGGCCGTTTCCTTTTTTGCGAAATGTAATTCCACCAAGGTCGTGGGTCGCGGACCAAGAACCACTACGCGAAATTTGGTTATATTTTTCCAAGAGTCGGTAAAACAAAAAATTCGAAGTCTACAGCAAAGTGCTTCCAACGGCAGTAAAAAGGTTTATCTGAAAACTTGTTCTGCTAAAAGGCACGTCTTCCCGTTGCGTTTTATTTATTCACAAGCTAAGTAAACATGACCACGGTGCCGCCGAAGTCCAAACTTCAAGCTAGAACGACAAATTAACCTACCTGTCAACAAACTTTAATCTCGCTCCTTCAAAGACAGAAAGAATGCTTATAATCAATAAATCATTGAACCTTTCATTGTTCATTGTATTTTATTTCGCGACGATATATTTAATCATGCTCGGGAAAGTCGCGGACCAAGGACCACATACTAACTGTACAAGTCACTCGCTAACATTTCCTCCACCGATCGATCTTCAACCAAGCTTCTGGGCTTCCGTAAACAACAGAGAAAGCCCCTCTCTCGACAACCCTCATATTCTCTTTGCTAATTTCACTGAGCGTGACAGCATGAATACCAGTATTTTCCAGCTTTGTAGCTTGATCTTTCAAGATTTACCAGGGGTGAAACAACAACAACAGTAATGTATGTCCAGTAGTTCCACGCACTGTGTCGCAAACAAGCGGCAAAGCTTGATAGGTAAGGGATTTGCCAAATCCCGTCGGCAAATTTATGAACTCATTGGTCTTCGCTATAAAATTTGCAGGATATAGCTTCTCTCTGATACTTGTTTAACTCTGTATTCATTACAAATTTCTCGCACACCCGATCAAAAGCCTCACTGAATCGTGCAAATCTTAAGAAGCGGCTTGGGTTACGTTTTACAAAAATCCGTAAACGGCCTGTGATTGGTGAACGTAAATGTCGGCTCTGTTTAGCAGACGTCCGTGGGGGAGAAATGAATGCGTGACAAACGAACCCCAACGGACGTCTGCGGGGAGGCTACCTTGTGAGCAGCTTCAAAAGGATTTATTAAGAGAATAAACGGTAACAAAACATTTGCTTGACATTGTCAACGGAAAGCTTTTTTGGCCTAATATGCTTTAACTTGCCCAAAAAATAACTAAATATACAAACTAAAAAAGAAATCGAAAAGAAAAGAAAAAGGAAAATTTAAATCTAATTGATGTGAGTTAAAAGTTTCCAGTATGAATGCAATTGAACGTAAAACTGTTAAAAGGATAACTAAAGGTTACCTTATATTTAGTAAGGCGACAAAACATGATGAAGCTTAAATGTTTAAAAATTGCATCCATAACCCATACCTTGATGAGCATCCGTATTATGTTGCAACCAAACTCCCCAAAGGAAACACAAAGCCAGGAAATCCAAAACGAACAAGGGAAAGCTTATCATGCTTGAAATGGGACTTTGGAGTAGAATTGCCCAAAACCTCGCTGATGACCCACAAAGCACCATATGGGACAATCATACCTAAAGGGCTTAATTTTCCTTCATAAGATAGGTTAAATTATTCATGAGTGC